ATATATATATATATATATATTTATTTCGCGATACTAACAAAGGCAATCTCTGCGGTCGGTCCTGTACTGTCGGCTATCCCGACGCCAATACTGTAGGAGGCAAAAACGGCAGGCGATAACAGGAGCAGAAGCCATAATGCAGGTAAGCCACAGGTTTTTAGAAGCGACGACGTATCCATTCAGATTTATAAGCCCCTTGACCAACTAGACTGAAAGCAGAATACGATATGAAAAGTGTAGGCATAACCGCAGCGAATATATCCTCGACGCATCGCGCAGCTCCGAGCCAGAAAGATAGATAATCGTCGATTTTTTATCCTTCTTAATCGCGCTTTATTGAAAATGTCCCGATTACGCCTGATATAACGGACGATGTACGAGATATCGCCCGTTGACTCATATCTTTTTCTCAGAGTATGTACATCTTAATACACACAATAACACTCTTTTCGAATTTACGTTGCCAAAGAAAATCGCGTGATACACTTTGATGATATCCGAATTATTATGTCACCAAAATTCCAACTCGGCCGTAGTACACTGACATTCTTATCGCTCTGTTTTCTAGAAACAATGCGATATTTACTATCGCACAATAGCCAGTTATTTTTCATTATTAGCAACAACATTAAACTATTGAATTGATCAGTGTGACAAGCAAACTCGATGAATTCTCATGATTCAAAGAAGATCGAAAGAGAATGAGACGCAAGATAACGAGACGCTTTCACTGCACGCAAGTTTGAATATTCGGCGCGATGAAGAAGAAGAAAAAGAAGAAGAAGCCTACAACTTTCACGAGAAATACTTCGCGTTGCGTGATTTCACCTTCGGTTAGTCAGTCGATAACTTGCAAGATTGCTGCCAACCACTATGCATCTGCAAGCGGTATGAAGTTCACGCAAGCGACATGAAAGTTCGTTATTATTATATAGCAGCCACGCTCCCCTTCTCTCGACCTTCGGTCGAATAGGATTGAGGGGATTTTCGAGGTAACCTTGGAATATTATTAGCTAGTAAACATAACATGTGTCGATCGTGAGAAATGTTCGATTATATGTTATTACATTATCGCGAATACGCGATACGATAAAGGGATGAAAATAAAAGAAACAAAATCGACTTTGATGAACTTTGGATATATTTTGGCCAAAGTTAACCCCGCTTTTGAGTTTCCTGCTGTTTACTGCAACTACGTCTTTCAAGTTTCTAAAAATGTCATTTTTCCTATGAGGTACCGCTGTCATATTATTATTTGTACAAATTTTCGAAATTCAGCTCATGAGATGAGACATTGTCAAGCTGTAAACATTGCATGCGCGTCGCATTTATCTGTAATATATCGTATATTAATATATGTATATTATATCGTATATCATTGTTGTAGATCGCTTACGCTCTCGTATTTTCGTCGAGAACAAAAACAATGATAATTAATTGCGCCCGTTGTACTGACACGGGATCGCGAGTAACACGTGCGGCGCGTTATTATGTACGAGCGAGCTGCCGATGGAAAGGCATGTATGCAATGCTACTTGTGAATAACGACACACGCAAAGATATATAAGTCGCTTGGTATTCCAATCCGTACGACCGAGCGCACTTCCGCGCAATGCATCGAACCGTGCAAATGCGTTTGCGCGCGTTTGCATCACATATACACTCACATATCACATATACACTCGTATTAACAAATATGGTAAACGTTAGTTAGTGTCAGTGGATCTTATTTATACACGTTATGCGTATTTCGTACAATTCGCACGTTTGAACCGAAACATATGTGTCACCTGTTGCAAGGCTCTTGAAGACATATCGAACGACACATACATGTCTTGTTTTCGTATTGAGAAGCGCTTTCGATTAAATCTTGATTTATATTTGATTGAAAATCTCGAGACCCCTCCGGGGAAGGCTGGCGTAAGTCGCTCTTAATACACTTCGCCTACATGTCGCGTTTGCTCTATATTTCGCGATCAGCTGAGTCTGGCAATTTATCCATTTATAGAATCACGAAATGATTTTGAACGAGTGATATGAACATTGGAACACTTAGCTGCTCTTTATCTATGTCTAAGGCTAAGGAGAGTTGTGAAAACGATACACCGTTGCGATAACATACGATACAGTGACCGATACTCGAAGCTCGAGAGGTATACAAACTCGAAGGAACATTCATATCTGTTGTGTATCTGTTCTATACACGACTATTTCATGTGTGTCGTATTTATTTCATATCCACTGTTCCAAGGATTGAAATGAGATTCGGAATTCCAACGGTTCCGAAGTTGTTGAGCCACATTCGCAATGTGCGCTTTGGAAAAAAAAGAAAAGAAAATAAACTCGTTGCAATCGGAAACATTACAATTAAAAGATGGACGAGTCAAGTGTCCGCCATTATTCCTTAGTGCGTCGATCTTCGAATCTGCGACTCACCGCACCACTTTTGCGAAACGATAACGACGTCTCTCGACGTCGATTACACATGCTGATCCTGATTAGTCTAAATCTGACGAGTTTTCAAGGTCTTCAAACTGTCGATACGTGTGTCCCATCAGAATGTATGATTTTTAGCAGACATGCTTTGCACGCACTTATCAGACACTTATCAAACTATTTCGCGCGATAAGGTTTGCTAATGTTCGTACACACAGTGTACGCAGCACACAGAGGATCAAGCCTCGTGAAACTACAGTACGCACACGCGTATATTTCGCTCGATTATGAGCGTCACGAGCCATCTCGAGCACGTCTCGGGCTACAACCGAGAGAAGATAGAACCAAGTAAGAGCCGGATGCTGTTAAATTTCGACGAGACGGTTGATTATGTCAGTTGTGTCATCGCCAACACTGACGACTGCGCTTTCACTTTTCACCGAATCTCTGCGAGATTGTTTGCTCATTTGCGTATTACATCACTCTCTCACATGTATATCCTTTGTATACCACATTTGAAATTTCGGGACATTTTCATTGAAAATTTTTATCTGATATTTTTAATGTCGCGCGTTGGCTTGCGTTGGACGAGGAAAGTGGTATAAAATTACGATTACATACCTAGATCACATTCGATCCCGACTTCAGCCGACTGTCCGTCCGAGGTTGCTGTCCGTTCTCGCAACGAAGAAATCGCTCAACAAACGCGTTATCAGGACAAATTCAATATTCCGTGGAGACGTAACGTCGCCGTAACTCGATGGCCATCGATTTGCGCGAGTTAACAAGAATAAACAGAAATATAAAACCGTCCGTCCGCAATAGCTTCGTACGCGGAACTCACGTAATCGTCTCACGAACAACACAGTGGTGCAACTCGTAATGTTCAACTGAAATATCGGCACGCCTTTCCGAGGTGGGCGATGTGGATCGAATGCTTCACCTGATATATGGTCATGGTCGCCGCTGATCCCGATCTGGACTTCTTTCTGGAGAAAAGAAAGTATGAGAGAGAGTCTGTCAGCTGAGTCTGCGACAGACCGCCGGCCCGTCACTACGAAGACTCCGAGTAACCCAAAGTCAATGTTGGGACTCACATGTTCAGTCGCGAGTGAGAAGGGGAAGAAGGAAACGACTCTCTCATTGTACACAATGACCACGTTCCTCATCTCTGTCGTTCTCGTATACGTTTATGCCTTTCCTTCTCTCGGAGGGATCGCGACTTAACTTTGACATCATAATGTGTATGCGCGCGCGAGTAAATTGTTTCAAGCGTGCTGGAAATCATGATAATAACTGTTGCGGCTAATTGTTTTCCAATTATAGAGAGACAATTATAGAAAGATACAGCAAATAGTATGTGCGCACGTATATACTCCATATATATACTTTCGCCACGTTTACGCAATATAAAAATAATAATCGCAAGTTTCATTATGTATGTTTCGCTCATTATTATCTATTTGCAAACTCAAAGTTCCTCAACTAATATAAGATAAAGTTAGATGAAACTAATATAAGATAAAGTTGCAAAGCAAAATGTACACACGTGCAAGTGCACGTGCAACGGTCCATTTAACATTTACAAATATTTGCGTTGATGCTTTGACTTGAAAGTGAAATAAACGCTTCGGTAAAACTTAATATTTTGTATTCCGAATATCTTTTCCACCTGGCTGTCCTAAATAAATTCACAAGAGATTCACAAGAGAGGCTTGATGAAATAACGACAAAATACCGTCGTTTTTCTAAATCTACTTTATACTTTGCATTTTTCTAAATCTACTTTATTAATTACGTCGTGATAACGCGTAACCGTCGCTCGTATACAATTGCTTTAAATAATTCTGTGGACGATTCTATAAATAGGATAACACGTACCTAAGCGCACATTTTAGAGTTAGATTTTAAGATGTAAATTTTCTCAGTGCTACCTTATCGTTGATTAGTGGTATTCTAATGGGCCGCGATGCTTTATGCAGACGATATTTTCTCGGGAGCTCGAGTCAGCCTTTATGAGCGTGACAGGTACATTTAAACATCCCCTTCTCCCTTTCCTTCTATATCCTAGTGGAATAAGGGAAAGATATCGTCATTTTAAGTAGTAACGATATGAATACATCTATTATGGATAGCTGCGCAACGCATAGAAAGGCGAACCTATCGACTGCTCCGGTTTTTCTTGACTTCTATACGGACACGTATACCACCTCGTACATTATTTTCTCAGCAATTTCACTTTCCGAGCGGCGCGGGAGCAATTTTTCCGCCTTAAAATCCTCCGAGACGCATATATATTGTGTACGTCGAATTGTTGTGTCGAATTCCGGCCATATGGCGAAAAAGAAAACAAAAAGGAACGACGCAGAGTTCCAAGATTTACGAGATTAATCTACTCGAAGGATTGCGCGACGGGACATGCAATTTCATCGAGATTAATTAATGCTCTATCTATTCGACTGTAATATTCGATGTATACTTACAAATGTCGTTGGTAATGCTTCCTCGTGTGTTTTCAATTTAGTACGTCCAATGGAAAGCATCTCGCGAAAATTTCTTTCGTGTCTGATTATGATTTGTGAGAAAAAGACGCTTCCTTTCTGTTTCTTCTTAGGATCTTTTCCGAGTTACTTTGCATTTGGTAGTTGTGCACCTTCTACATCTCCCATTTGATTTGGATTAACGTCGCGTGACGGATCTTCTTTCGATGGTGATGTCTTTTTGACAGAAATGTCTCTCACAATTAATCGCAATTGACCGGCAATTGAGACACCGGGCAAAGTAGCATCGACTCTACGATCACTTGACGGCTCGATGCTGCCTTTTCTTTAGACACCTGTGCGTAAATACACAAGTTATAATCGATGTTTTTTTTTTCCGAGGAACCGCGCTTTTTATTCGTTGTGTTATTAACGCATTAAGCTACGCGACCGAACGAGCACAAACCATCACAGACGTGCGCGATCGCCGTCGAGAACAAGCGACCCGTCGATACGATCGTGTACTTGTTGGCGTGACGTTGGAGCGCGAACTGTCACTTTCATCGATCCATAGCAGTTCGAGCACTCGCTCGAGAGAAAGTAAAACTAGGTGGATTGTGCAATTATTGTCGCTACAATAGCTGAAATAATCTCGACGCAACAAAACGCCAGTTTGTAACGTCAACACCACTTTTGTCTCGATTTAAACAAGCAATTCATAATAAATGATTCATAATAAATGGGGAATACGCATAACTTAAAAAATTACATCTTCCCTCAAATGTGATTGCTGTAAGAAGAAACATGCAGGCGAAAAGTAATGATAAAATATTTCTGTGAGATTTAAAACAATTTGTATTCCTCAAACACCCGTGTATATTAATTTCTCTTCGCTTCATTATTTCTTCGCTATTGCTTTTCAACAAAACAGGAATAAAATAGATGTGAAAATTCGTTCAAGTCAGGGGAAAATGGCGAAACTACCTTAAATGGCCGCGCGAACGTAAGAGGATAAGATATGATTGTTCAATTGCATATCGCGGTTTGCGTGATTCAGAAGTTTGATGTTGCTTTTTACGTGAGAGATACGTTTAATGGCTATACTCCGAGAAAGTAAACTGGTCGATTTTCGAATTTATGCGGAGTTTTCAGGAAGTATCGTGTTTCTCAATCGTCGGCACGGAAAAGCATCGCTCCAACTTTTCGGTATTTCGAATACGCGACAAGCTGGCACATTCCATGCTGATGCGAATAATCGAAACAATCGGAACACGGCTGACGCGGAATTTTGCGCCCAGCAATGCACCTAGACAAGCACTATTTTTATTTACGTACTCGCCAAGCAAGAACAATTTGTCAATCTTTTATATGGAACTGCAAAAGACCGGCAAATATACGAGGGAGATTTACCAGCGTTTGGCTGAGCTGTTTTTTTTTATGACGCAACGATCGATCCGCTGCCAATTTGTAGCACAACATGCGAAGGTATGAGCCCGCGCCGCGATAAGAACTTTATTCATTAATACTCTGGCAACGCGTGCAATTAGCCGCAGCGATATTGCCGTTTTATTCACTATTCCGAATCCATTTTCCATTTTATGAAACAGCAAAGTACTGAAATAATTGGCACCGGCAGCAAACCTTCCACTTGCCACGTGCGTTAAAATTATAATTCCTGTTAGTTTGCACGATGAAAAGTGCATTAGCTCTCACAACGGATTCTCGAATTGTCCCCGTGTGTGCGTGGAAGTCAAGAATTCTATTCGCTTATATTTTGTGCAAGCCTCGCAACAGCGACATTCTTCGGTCGACAAATAAGTGTTAAAGGGGTTCATTCACATGGTTGTAACGGGAGACGAAATAGTCGTCAGCAGTTTATCGTTGACGCGTTATTTGCGAAGAGTGGTTCGATCTATCGGCTCCTGTGAATCAGTCGTTGTCGGGATCGTCGTCGCGCGAGGATCGACGAAAGCGGTTCGAAGAGTCTGGTATTTGTCGGATACTCGTATGTCCCACGCGTAAAACATGAAAAATAATTGGGGAAGTCGCAAAAGTAAGTTTTTTTAATTTGATCCGTAGTTTTATCCGTCAAACGTTTGGGCTGCAACTTGAACCAACTCTTTCATCGATTTTCTTTCTTCTCTTCTCTTTTCATTGTTTTCTTTTTTATTAGCTTGTTCGGTTATTTCTTTTGTTATTTATTTTTTTGCAATTAGTGTGTTCCGCGGGTAATTTGGATAAACTAGACATCAACAAAAGTTTGCAAGTGGCCAACTCTCAAATCAACCAATCATGTTATGTCGTATTGTCGGATTCAATAAGTACAGGTAAATCGATTATTTGATAAAACGATATCTGTGTGTGTGTGTGTGTGTGTGTGTGTGTGTATAAAGTGTACAAATCTGATAGAGAATTTTGTCCAATAATGTATCTCATCGCGATGATAATCGCGCATTTATTTGGGTGTAGAGTATCTCAGAATTAATATTAATTGCGTTTTTAGAAACAGTCGAAAAAGCAAACGTTGAGTCGAACAGACGTAGCTGTTTGAGTTTTTGTGGACGGTACAAACGTATTCTTCTGATCGGAGCAGCTTTGTTAATCGGGCTGAACTTAATTATACTCGCTACTGTGCTGTTACTATCCCACGTTCAGGATACTTCAGGTTTGTAAATGCACGCTGTTAAAGCTATATGCATAGCTTTTATAATCGTCCGATCGCTGCAATCATTCCAACCTCCTTCCAATGTTCCTCAATAACAATCGTCATCTCCTCCTGCGCAATTCTTCCAGATCGCGTTGGGCTAGACTATTTTTTTGGCGAAACACCATTATCGCAAGTGGAAGTGGTGATCGATGGAAACCTATCTTTTAACGATTGGACGGAGCTGACGAGTAAGACGGTGCAAAACGCGGAGAATAACGTGTTCTCGATAGATGCAAAAGTTACCGAAACGCGCAGTAAACGAGAAATATCGCACGAGAAGAGTGATTGCGATATGAATGCGGATCGTTGCGCAATGCTGTTGCAATCGATGTACAAGTATCTCGGAATTCTCAAGAACAACTCTCAAGAGTTGTTCGACCAAAGCCGCGTGTCTACATTCGAGAATATTCTGAAATGCCTGTATTGTAGGAATCTCGAGTCGACCACTGCGGGTAAACTTGACGAAAATTTCACGACGCGGTCAAACGGCACATATCTGCCGTACGTCTACGTCGGGCGAAATCATTCACCTGGATCGACCGCCATTGAGTTTTCGGATAATACTGGAGGTAACGAGGGCAGGTCGCGCAACGCTGATCGCGTCGGAGGTGACAGAATTGATCTGCCAGAGATTGTGGACAGCCGAATAGCGAAAACGAAGTCGATCGTCACATCACTCGACCGTACAAACTCGGATGGAACTTTATGGATGCACATAAATCGCGCTGATATCGACGATAAACAGTCGAATGAGGGTTCGATCGCAAATTATTCTCACGTAACAAAAATCCAAAATGACACGAGTGTTTCCGCGACGTTAAATGACGTCGCGGACGGACATCGTGCGATCGACGCGGCCAAAATTGTACCTAATAACATCGTTTCGCTAAACGCAATCGAGTCTAAAGAAAGCACGACAACGGCTACCTGGATAAAAACAAGCGAGGAGTCTGACACTCGAAACAGTGCGACGAGTCAATTGTCGACCAATCAACTAGCGACGGGAGACGTGATGGGAATTGGCTATGACGTCGCGGCTACTCTGATGCATCCTTCATTCGAGGGACACCCGGAAGATGGGTCGTCCACCATAGAGGCCGGTACGTGATTGGAAGGAATATGTAAAATAACATTGACATCGATAATGAAAGTGACGACACTATGTTCCCAGTTTGCATTAACGTTTGCATCTTGCAAGCGCTTCTCGAAATCGAGTGTATTCTTTGTTTCTTCAACCGACTTCACTTTCGTACTTTTCTCCAAAAGTTTCCAAAAAAGTGCTTATAATGAGGAGATTCAAACGCGGGACGAATGAAAATCTCTCTCTCTCTCTCTCTCCCCCTCTCTCCCTCCCTCTCCCTCTTCCTCTCCCTCTCCCTCTTTCTCTCTCTCTCTCTCTCTCTCTCTCTCTCTTCGATATACATAAAATATTGTCAGTACTGCGCAAGCGATTGATGTAAATCGCTTGTAAAACGATGCAGATTTCCGTTAATACACGAAAAAATTGGGATGTCAATTTTCTTCATATTATCGTAGATTCCGTAATATAGCCTTTCGTTATTGCCTTTTCGTGAAGCAACGAAATCGCCAAATGTAATCTTTTAGAGGTAACAATTTGCAATTTCTCAAGATACACATGATAGTTACAGAGCCGATGTCGATCGACCGTTTCATAAAGGACAACGCCAAATCCGTCTCCAATAGTTACAAGCAAATTGGGGAGAGCACGGAAGGCATTCGGCAGTTGACGTCCACGATGTCGTGGACGATACCGCATCTGATCTGCTATCCCGATCAGCTCTTCAATAAACAATCACGACTAGGATCGACGCTTTATCCGAGCCCTTTTGATTTCAGCTCTTTGCAAAATCACAAATCGTTCTTTTTACAGACTTTATTTCCACTAAGTATGAGCTCCTCCTCCTCTTCCTCCTCTTCGTCGTCCTCCTCCTCCTCCTCCTCCTCCTCCTC